CGGCCGGGCTGACGGCGCCGTGCCCGGCAGGGCTTCTTCAAGCGCACGGTGCAGAACAACAAGCACTACACGTGCACCGAGAGCCAGAGCTGCAAGATCGACAAGACCCAGCGCAAGCGCTGCCCCTACTGCCGCTTCCAGAAGTGCCTCAGCGTGGGCATGCGGCTGGAAGGTAAGAGCCCCGCGCCCCGCGCCCCCCGGCTTCTCCTGCCGCAGCGCTGAGCATCTCCAGGTCTCCGCCAGCGCAGAGCGGAGCAGCCCCCCAGGTCTCCGCCGCAGCCCCAGGTTGCTCTCACCACGGGGTTGAACAGCCCCAGGTCTCCCTCGCCGCAGCGCGGAGCAGTCCCCGGGGGTCTCCCTTGCAGCAGCCCCCGGGGTCTCCACCGCAGCCGAGCGGAGCAGCCCCGGGTTGCTCTCACCACGGGGTTGAACAGCCCCAGGTCTCCCTTCCGGGGTCTCCACCAGAGCGGAGCAGCCCCGCGTTTCTCTCACCACGGGGAGGAACAGCCCAAGGGTCTCCCTTGCCGCAGCACGGAGCAGCCCCCGGGGTCTCCACCAGAGCGGAGCAGCCCCGCGTTTCTCTCACCACGGGGAGGAACAGCCCAAGGGTCTCCCTTGCCGCAGCACGGAGCAGCCCCCGGGTCTCCCTTGTAGCAGAGCAGCCCCCGGGTCTCTCCCAGCGCGAGGCTGAGCAGCCCCTTGATTTCACTCCCATTTTTGGAGCAACCGGGGCCTGAGCCGGCTGCAGCCTGCCTGCCAGCGGGGGCCGTACCCCGGGCTCCTTCTTGCCCCGCCGGTGCCGGGGGAGCAGCCGGGGGATTTGCTGCCTGCCTGTCTCAGTCGGGTGGGCTCGTGCTCTTGCCGTGAGCGGCGGGATGGAGGAAGCCAGCGGTGCTCACCCGCCGCGGATCCCCTGGAGGGACGGTGACATCCCAGCTCGACTGCCTGAAAATGGGAGCTTGCGTCTCCTTAGTTATTAGTATTTACCGGGCAGAAAAATCTGAACCGACGCTTCTAAAAAGCTCCTTCAGCTAGACAGGACAAAAGCAAGCCGGGGATGATTGATTTGGGGGACAAGTGGGATGTTGACATCGGCCTCTCCAAGCTGAAGAAAGAGAAGGGGTGGAGGAGCTGGGACTGCGTGAGCAGCATCGGCTCGGCGCCTCCCTGGCAAATCGGGAGCTCGTGGGGTGCCCTGCGGCGCGGTGACGAGAGAGCCGGGGGCCGGCGCTGCCGCAGCACGGCACGCACTGAGCATGGGGTGATCGCAGTGCGGCTGGCGAGAGCCGCCGGCTTCTCCGGGGGTCCTCCCTTCCCTCCGGATAGTGAACGCGGCACGAAGGGGACCCCAGGCATGTGGCAGGGCTGGCCCCGTAGGCAGCGGGGCCTGGCGGAGGGGAAAGCCGTCTGGCAGGGGAGTAGGGCCTGCCACTGCAGTGGGAGGGGAGGAGGACGGTGCTGGGGCAGGGGGAGAGGGCAGAGGTGGCCCAGGGAGACTGGAGGAGGAGGGCGATTTTGAAGTAGATCTGGAGATGCCCGGCGAGCTCGAGGGGGGCGAACCGCGGTAGCACAAGTCGCGTCCTCCTAGCAGAGATGGCCCTTCCCGCAGCCTGGGGACGGGCAAGTGCATTTGTCTTGCCCGGGCGCAGCTCGCTGGGAAGCGTGCGTGCACGCTCGGGCACGCCGGCTGCGTTCCCGGCTCAGCCCAGACCAGAGGAGCGGAGCAGAGAGACGGGGAGAGGGCAAGTATCGGCCCTGCCGCCCCCGCCCCGTTCCACCAGCCCCGGGTTAAAACCAAGACTTTCTTGTAGCTGGAAAATGGCTCTGTGGGTTTGTGCGTGCGGGGTGTGATTGTGTG